ACACTTGCGGAAAAGATGATATACCGCAAACAAAAGGTGCAAAGGTTTTTGTACACCATATCCGGATTTCGACAAATAATGTCTCTTCAGTGATGTTAGGATTCGAAACGGTATTTGGAAAGCCCAACAATTTACCTCAATTTAGGATAGACTCTTGAATTCGAGGAGTCAAAATAGGATAAACGGATCATATAAACCCTAAGGCAAATATAATACAAGCCCAAACGAAAATAATATAAACAAGTCTAAATTGAAAACAACGTTCAAACCTATGATTGCGTTGGATAAAAACCGCAATTTTTATACGTGTGCATGCAAAACAAATTTCTTGTTAGAGGGGTCTAAATACAGCACAAACAACATTTTCCAAAAGACCAAAAAAGTGATAAAGTATATTTTAACAAAACGCATTTGACTAACAGGTCGAACAACAAATGTTCTTAAACCCTGCTGACTGCCATTGGCGATTGCCAAATAAACGGATCACCGATGTAATAAATGGATCTTAATTTTTAATTTAATACTAAATAAAAAACAATAAACTTGCGGAAAAGATGATACACCGCAAACAAAAGGTGCAAAGGTTTTTGTACACCATATCCGGATTTCGACAAATAATGTCTCTTCAGAGATGTTAGGATTCGAAACGGTATTTGGAAAGCCCAACAATTTACCTCAATTTAGGACAGACTCTTGAATTAGGAGGAGTCAAAATAGGATGAACGGATCATATAAACCCTAAGGCAAATATAATACAAGCCCAAACGAAAAAAATATAAACAAGTCTAAATTGAAAACAACGTTCAAACCTATGATTGCGTTGGATAAAAACCGCAATTTTTATACGTGTGCATGCAAAACAAATTTCTTGTTAGAGGGGTCTAAATACAGCACAAACAACATTTTTCAAAAGACCAAAAAAGTGATAAAGTATATTTTAACAAAACGCATTTGACTAACAGGTCGAACAACAAACGTTCTTAAACCCTGCTGACTGCCATTGGCGATTGCCAAATAAACGGATCACCGATGTAATAAATGGATCTTAATTTTAAATTTAATACTAAACAGAAAACAATAAACTTATATATATAAGTGAAGTGGGGTGTAATCACAAAACACAAAAAACAAAAATGCACGTTGTCGTTCTAAGCATACACCAACTCGTAATTCAAAGTATCGGATAACAGGAAGCATAGATGTATGACATATTCCCAAAATACTCACGTATACAATTTGTAAATGATAAGCTGCTGACTAAATATGACGTTCAGTAGTACTTGAGAAAAGTCTGATAATTTTTTTTTAAAGTTTATTCAATATATAAAAGCTCAAAGTATCGGCAAATATGAAGTGGGTGCCCGACAGATTTGAAAAATGTTAACTATATACAAGATACTTACCAAGTGAAAAGTCTTTCTGATCAGTAGTACTGGAGAAAAGTACAACTACAAATATTATTGGATTAGCGAATGAAAGGACGGACGGAAAAGGTGAATGCAATATTAACCCGCACTTTTAGAATGTGTATAATTAGAATACAGTTGTTTATAGAAGTTCAAATTCATAAAAAATATTCAGAAAGTAAAAAGTAATGTAAAAACAAATCTTTAGGAAATCGCATGAACTTCAAAAGAATCCAGACCCGTTGGGTCGACAGGGTAAAATCTCATCGGAGATACCATGTTTTTAATTTGATACGCTCAACACGCGTTTTGTTTACATGAATATGTACAAAGTGACTCCAGCTAGGCACGCATCTCCCGAATCAAGGAAAGACCAAACCAAGGGACAACAAGTGATTATACATGTACCATACGTATACCTCTAAATTATCTTCTCTAGACAATGAAAACAAGTGTTCATAAATTTCATACGTCCAAATCAATTTTTTGGGATATACTTTCATAAGGAAAGCTGAAACCTAAACATTTGAAAGTCAGGAATGTATAAGTCCATAAAAACGTTGGCAGCTAAATGATCACAAGTAATATAAAGAGAATACCCAAAATAATCTAAGATCAACTTGGAACCTTAGTTTTTAAAATAATTTCTTAATTTATCAACGGAGAATTTTAGGAAAATATGTCAGTACCGAAGCACTGACTACTGACACGTTATGAGGGAATGAGTAATGAATAAAGATCTGCCATTAATTACACACTCTTGAATATAAAAGATATCAAGAAAGAAAGAAAAAAATAAATAGATTTAGACCATAGTAACTGACTCAACATTAACATTTGGTGGGGTCAATTGTATTTTCAATGGTTAGTCTTTTCGCCTTTCATATTGACCAGCGAAATGAAATACGTTCCGTAGAGGTCTGTCCATTAAGTTTCATGTAGGAACTTATAGTAAGTTTCATTTAAGTATGTACATTAAGTTTCATGTATAAAGGTACATTGAGTTTCATGTAGGTATGTACATGTTTCATAAAGGTGTGCACATTGAGTTTCATGTAGGCATGTGTGCACATTGAGTTCCATGTAGGCATGTACATAATGTTTCATAAAGGTGTGCACATTGAGTTCCATGTAGGCATGTACATAATATTTCATAAAGGTGTGCACATGGAGTTTCATGTAGGCATGTATATAATATTTCATAAAGGTGTGCACATGGAGTTTCATGTAGGCAAGTACATAATGTTTCATAAAGGTGTGCACATTGAGTTTCACGTAGGCATGTACATCTAGTTTAGTGGATATATGTACATTAAGTTTGATTAAAGTGTGTACATTAGGTTTCATGTAAGTATGTACATAAAGTTTCTTAAAGGTGTGCACATAAAGTTTCATGTAGGTAAGTACATTAAGTTTCATGTAGGTAAGTACATTAGGTTTCATGTAGGTAAGTACATTAGGTTTCATGTCGGTAAGTACATTAGGTTTCATGTAGGTAAGCACATTAGGTTTCATGTGTAAGTACATTAAAACACTTAACTCTACAATATAGCAATGCCAACGACAAACATATATGTAGTCAGGTATAAGCTTAAATAGAATTTAGACATATATTTCCCTAAAAAGAGTTCAGTTACTTAAAGCAAGTTGAGAATACTAAAATCACTCGTTCTTACATTCTAATATCAGTGGCTGTACATCCTAGGAAATTCAAAATAGCCAAGAAGGCTTAGGTCATGATGTTTGTATGGAAGCTACTTGATAGTTGAATAAAATAATTTTCTGTTTGTGAATTTGTTTTTAAACTTATATTTCAGATGTGTATTGAACATATATGTTACGATTCATATGCAAAGATTAGTCTTGCACCATGTGTTATATCAAATAGTTAAAGAATGATATATCAGTACTTTTTACATCGTCTGGTTTTCATATATAAAGACAAAAATTTGAATTATTTTGAAATTGAAATATGATTTTCATTAAAAAGTGATTAGCATAATCGAAAAAAAAAGGTATGCACAATATTTCAAATCCTAGATGGGTGTGAACTTAGAACTTTCGTTTACGTCCAAATCAACCTATATAACATATATACATGTATCCGGCAAACAAGGATAAATGTCTGATCTAAAAATGTGTCGCGCTTTGAAACTAATGTGGTAGACTGTATTTTATAGGTTTTACAGTAATTGTGTATATTTTTATATTTAGTTTATGGTATTATATTTTGTATATTATATGACTTATATTGATTAATTAAAAGGTATGAGTATATTAATTACAGATTGTAATTAATTGATGAGTATTTTTATTTTCATAGTTCATTTTATTTGCTTATTTGACATTTGGACTTATTGACAGACGAGTTTTCTACTGGTTTGGGTAACTTTGGTTTCACTGTATTTTACTTCAAAGGCTTTCTTTTCATGGTCCATTGGACCTCACACTTTCTTTATTTCTATTGGTCATTATGTTTTGGCGCTATATTTCTTTTGTTCTATATACTGGTCATCACTTTTGATATAATGGTGGACATAGACATATGTGTTTTGATATTTTGATATATATATTCTTTCTTAGTTTTCTATATTCTATATACAGGTCAGTTATCTTTCTCTATTACTAATTATATGTTAATAGTCCAGATATTTATTATTTTACCTAGAACGAATGTTTAGAATGAAAAGCTTGATGCGTAAATGTTTAATGCGGGATGAATGCTTTAAAATGATATAAAATAGATAAAGTACAATAAAGTATTATCTGTTTGATTAAATGGTTTAAGAGACGTTATTTTCATATTTTCATAAATAAAGTACTTTTAACCTGGGACTATTATACTAGTATAATAGTCCCAGTTTTAACTAATTTGGTAAAGGATTAATTTAATACACACTGTATGAGAATTCGAGTGTTCCGGTACGAATGCTTTAAATACTGTTAAAGGTAAAGATATAAACGTAATAAAAGTTATGTGGTATTGATTGATTATTTTAACTAAGAGTACATATCGTAAACAGGTGGATTATTACAGTAAAACATGGATTACAATTTGTTTATTTGTTATACAGGTATATTTTAAGTAATCCTGGGAAGATGTGATTAAATTCCATTTAGATTATTCAGGAGGCCTTTGCACCTCATGCGAGGTAAGCTAAGTGTTATTTTTGTAATGTTCGTATTTTTGTTTGTTGCTACTTTATGCTTACGGCATTTATACAGCATGCAGCTTTTGCTTTTAGTTTTGTTAATTTGCTTATGCTAAAGTTTGCGTTAACCGCATTTCAGTGTCATCTTTCGTATATTAGACTTGTTTATATAATATGAGTCGTTACATGTAAGTGCATATGGACTAAACTTTGTCAGATACACTCAACAATATAAGCATATTGTTGTAAATACATGCAGAACAGATTTATTTCTATTTCTATAAGTAAAACATTTGCTTATCACATTACATGGATAGAAACCTATGTACCAGATTATTTATTCGATAAACGGTCAGAATCTTACTATTGTATTTGTTTTGTAGGGTATTTATTTAATTATTGTTATTATCCTGATTTTGTCAAGAAATAAAACGAATCCACCTCAGAAGAAAGTATTGTGTTTTATTAGCCCTAGAAAGTGCTATTACACTTACAAATATGAAGTGTAGCACCAAATATCGAAAAGCTATCAAGTACATGTATGCGGCAAACAGGAAGTAGATAAGTGTACATGAACACGTATCTCTAACACTTCCCCTGTTAATGACCAAGAAATAATCAACAACCGCTATATTTACATTTCGTCACCGTTCATTTGCATTTAAGTTTTACTATTGCTCTACAAAGAAAGATATGTGTAGGTATGCATTTGTTATGTCATAAATTATTGTTTCTAGGTGGCATAAAATATATCATGGCTATCTATAGTACATAGTACATTAAATAGACAAGAGTGCATTTTGCGTAATGCAATGTTGATACAATCATGATTTTTCAGGTTGAGGGTCATATCCATGTTGATTCCCATAAGATGGTTGAGGTTGATGTCCATAAGATGGTTGATGTCCATAAGGTTGTTGTGGTCCAAATGGATCATTATAAGCCGAATTTTGCATAGCAACAACTGTTGGGGGATACTGCTGATGTTGAACTACTGGCATAGGTCCTCCTGTCATTGCTATAACGGTCTGGGGCTGATGATTTGATACTACTGTCCCTTGATGTACTGGCATACTACATCCTATTATTATGAGAACAAATGATACTATCAATGCTCCGCCACCGGCCGCTACACATAAATAAAATGACCACCCGGGTGCCACGTCTACACCGAATACTGAAAGTATGGTAGCCATATCACCAAATGTTCCTTTGAAGAAGTACAAATAATACCATAAAGCACCCGCACCACAAAAGAAACCTGCAAATAAAATACACGTATAATAAAGTTAAAATATAAAGTAGTATGCAATCAGATAATATTTTCAAATGACATTATCAATGCCATTATTTTTTGTTCGAATCACCATACAGGTAAGATGATAATAGCATAATAAAGGAACATACAGTAGTCACAATGTCAAGACAGGACGAGAGAGCGTTTGTTCTGCGCATGTGTTTCAATGCTTTAATTGGTAAAGTAGTCATGTATTACCAAAGGTGGTCAAGATAACCCTCATTTTATCACCATAAGCTGCATATTTAATGACCTTAATCACTTAAAGGACCTTAAATTATCTTTGGAAAAAACCTCTTGTTTACAAAAGTTCATGGTATACTGGTCTACGTTCATTCAACGCATTTTGTTTCCGGTAATAAGACACACATATCAGTTTTTGGCGTTAACTTATATGATCCGAACTAGTTATATTTTAATAATGCACATCACTGTGACTTTGAGATGAAGAACATTAAGCACTGTTCCTTTGCATTTGGTTTTACCATGTGAGTGTAGTGATCCTGTGTCAGGCATTGATACACTATATCCTTTCTTTTCTATGTGTTCGTGTCATAATGAATAAACGACAACATAATAATATCTAAATCATGTAAAAGCACATCCTACTGTTATGTTAGTTTCCGACAATGCAAATTTCCACGGATACAGCTTGTAAGGATAAATACTAAATAGAGAACCCGATCATAAAATTTAAGTTAAATCTAAATCGACAGAACAGTTAACAGCTAAACAAATATCTTCAAAACAACAGTATTATAGTCATTCAAGTATAAAAAATTGTATAAAATCATACGTACGAACCATAATAACTCGATTCATTGGTGTCTGCTTAACGACCAGTGGCAAGTATTTCATGCATATTCAGGGGACTCGGAGACGAGTCGGAAATAATCAATAAAAAGTCCTGCATATGCACTTATCTTTATATGCACGAAATATTGCCACTGAACGTTAAGAAAATAAAAATCAATCATCTTACCTCCGAAGAGACCGACACCAGCTATATTCTGTACTGTTGGTTTGGGGTTCGGTTTACTACAGCCACAAAACCCGATTAGACAAGCTATAAACAGTAGTAGACATCCTAAAAGAGAACTTCCAGCTATACCAAAATAATGAACTGAAACAAATAAGTATGAGAAATTTCATCAAAATGTTTTGGTTATTAATTTATAAAAACGATGCATACAACTTGTAACAGAAGAGTGCCGTTTCAATTACTTCTCAACCGAATACGTTTTTATTAGAAAAAAATGTTAGAATCAAACTATGGTATATTGAAATATTGAAACGCTGCCTCACTGGTGCTAGAGTCGGCCACCAGAGAACACAGGGTCACAAAGAAAAAGAGAGTAAAATGATCTATAAAGTGCAAGGTTCGACGTCCACTGTTTACCGTCGGACCAAAACACGTTACAGAAAGGGAAATCGTATACTTGTGTTTATATATATATTCTCAGTTGTGAAATAAAATATCTGAATAAAATAAAGTTTCATATTTTATTAATATCAAAAATAATCCTCGACGGAGAGAATGGGTCTTGCCGGCTCTCTCACTGGTCTGGCCAGGTCCCCGGTAATGGTTGGTCTTACATATATAAACAAAACTAGTCTATAATTCAACAGTCAAGAAACAAGGTTGTCACTTATTTAGTATCTTTCTATAATCTCAATTTAAGGATATTACACCCTACTACATTATAGAAGACAACAACTTAGTATAACAAATTAAATGACATATTAATCATGTCGGAACCGCCAACAGAACACTTAATGTGCACCTTCAATATCACTTCAATAGCACCGTCACCGGCACAGTCACCGTCACCGGCACAGTCACCGGCACAGTCACCGTCACCGGCACAGTCACCGTCACCGGTACCGACAACCGTATTTAGCACCGTCACCGTCACCCAAAACCGTATTTAGCACCGTCACCGGCAATCTTAAATTAAAACAAAGTTAACTTTCAACGCCTGTCTGTATTTCTCAGACATATTCCAGCTTCTATTAAAGTTTGTCACTTCCCATTCTTTGTCAAACCAACACTCCCCTCGTTCTGTTGTTGCTTTTGCTTTTATACTCCCGACTGACCAATGACAGAGCTTGTTACATATTGTTTACCAATCGGCAACCATGGCTCACATATAAAGGGAAATTCCCGTAATGTTGATAATGTTTGTAAACATGGATTGATCTTCATCAATAAAGATGGGTTTTGACTTTAAATTTATTAGTAGATAATTAGAAGAGTTTTATTTGAGTTTATAGTCTTACAAGGTAATTACCGCGAAAATATGGAATCAGTACGTGAAATAAAACCTCCTAACATACACAAATATGTCATATCCTTGAAACAACAGCCAAAAAAACAAATTACAAGTCTGACATTACTTGCAACATTAGACATCTCACTAATATCTATCGTTTATCCTCAATAATTTCAAGAAACTATACAGACATAGATTTACAATAAAATGGGGGGAGGCCGGCATTACAATATATTGGATACTGTTATTTAATTATAATTAATTTTGAAACAACTATATATATAGGCTAGATCAGGGCTGCCAAGTCTCACGCTTTGCTTTTAGCGTGAGACTCACGCATTTCCATGCTTATTTGGCGGCATTTTCCTTTGATCTATTGTTTTTTTCTCTTTGATCTTTACGATTTTGACCAAATCTCACGCATTTGCATTATCAAAAGTTGGCAGAACTGCTAGATGCAGTTCTCACACATACTAAAAACAATAGGTAAGCTAGATTTGGTGTACTATACTATTGAATTATTGAATAGTGTACATGATCGTCTGACCGAGTTCAGTCAGGATTCTACTTCGTCAAAATTATCTCCCCATTACGCCAAAAATGGAAGCCATTGTAGGGATGACGCGCTTCCAATTTAGCTCTTGAAAACCGATAAATTTATCCACATAGCACCATTACGATCCTTATATGCCAGGTGTATTTTAAAAGACAAATGTACAATGTATCTACTAGCTAATGAGCATCAGTTAATGTACTTGTCTGCATTCAGTCAACTAAAAACTATTGTCGGATCGGTTGTCAGGTGGAATTATCGGAAATTCATAAACATTTAAAAAAATTCTAAATATTTCGTGGAAAGGGCAGACTAAAAATTTTCAGTGGTTGAAGACTATAAACCCTAATTATCACACACAAAAAATGAAGTTTTTTCGAAGATATGCATTTTTAAGATCCAACTTAAAAGTCAGTCGTCAAGTACTTTTAGTAAAAATTTGCTATTCGAACACACCTACTCTGTTTTTGTGATTCATTAGAAAGGTATTTCACTTGACCCATATATCTAATTTTTTAGTACTGTGAACTTTCGATGTTATAAAGTCAACCTGCAGCCTTGATATATAAAAATAATAGAATCTGAAGCGAGATGATGTATCAAATACTCTTGCTTTATACGTTTTCAAGACAAAATATTTAACTCAAACACGCCCTAACATAAAAAGGTGCACTCGATTTTATCTTTTCGGTGCAATTGTTACCCATTTTTTTGAATTTTTTCTTGAGTTACATAATGGAAGGGCAGAAACGAAAATTAAGGAACAAATAGATTGATATGTTCTCCGTCCGTGGTAAAAAAAAAAAAGAAAATCGGAGGTTATGCATTTTTTTTAGATCCAACTGAATAGACACCCATGTCGTCGACTTGATATCTAATTGTTCTGCTTAATTATGTAATAGATAAATTGAAAACTTATGCAAATTGTGTTTTTATGATAAAATACTTCGTAATTTAGCCGAAAACTGTCATTTTATTTGTTTCTATTAACTTTTAAAAATTTTGTTACTATAGTAAACATTACAGTAAGCATTTATCGCCTTCTCTAACAAAGAGCTTCGATTCTTTTGTTCTATTTCAACTGGGTTTCCGCCTGAGTTCATCTGACATTGATATCATTTTCAAGGTTCAATGGTCAACGTTCAGTATCATTGAACATGGGTTAAGAATAACTTTAGGGTTTAAATTAAGGATCGGCGACAATTTAAATTGGAATTGGTACTACTCACTTAATCTGCATGTCATATTATCAATGTATGTCTCTGATATGAACTCAGTTATTCATGGCTTGGCTTTAAAGTAGATCTGCAACAAAGTCCACCCTTTACCTCATACCCTTCAGGACCAAAGACCCTTTACCTCACACTCTTTAGGACCAAAGACCCTTTACCTCACACTCTTCAGGACCAAAGACCCTTTACCTTACACCTTCAGGACCAAAGACCCCTTACCTCACACCCTCTAGGGTCAAAGACCTGTTAACTCACATCCTTCAGGACCAAAGACCCTTTACCTTATACCCTTCAGAGCCAAAGACCCTTTACCCTACACCTTCAAGGACAAAAGACCCTTTAACTCACACCCTTCCATACAAAAGACCCTTTTCTTCACAACCTTTAGGGCCAAAGACCCTTTTCCTCACAACCTTCAGGGCCAAAGACCCATTAACTCACACCCTCTGGGCCAAAGACTATACTAGTAATTTTCCGTCACATCCTTCAGGGCCAAATACCCTTTACCTCACATCCTTCAGGAAAAAAACTTTTGAAATGAACACGAACATTTGCATGCGTTGATACAGTTTGTATCAAGCGATAACCATGCGGCATCTGAATTAAGATGGTATCGTCAAAGCTTTGGGGTTGTTTTTATTTTGCCTAGTACATAAATAACTTAGATAAACAAGATTTGTTTTTAACGAAGGTAAAAAATTTAACAATAACATGGTGGTCTTCCCCGATGCCTTCAAAAATCATTAATACAAATTGATTAAAGAAAAACAAACAAACAAACAAAATTCATAAAACAGTTAACTGTATAAAGCAGCTTAAATATTGAATAAGCACATATGCATTCAATATAAGAAAAACATATTTCAGTCTGAAGTAGCCGCTACAAAAGCTTATCGCGTATTATATTTTTACGCTGAAAATGGACAATTTTCCGTTATATCAATCGTCAAAATTTGTAAATCATTCCTTTATATAGCTTACATCGTCTCTTCTTTTTGCCGTACATGATGGTGTTCGAGACAACATTGGCGATGGTCAACATTGAATTACTTTAAAAAGTCAAATTTCGACTTTCTAAAAGTAAAGTTTCGATTTTTTTAAAGTTTCAATGTAAAATCTTTAAAAAGTTGATTTGGAAAGTAGAAAGTTTGACTTGTAAAAATTCAAACTGTTAAGTTTGAAAAAAAATTGAAATCAAAATTTAAAAAGACGAAAATTGGACTTCAAATAAAAGAAACAATATTTTAAGTGTAAAAAAAGACAAGAAAAAAAAAGAAAACAGAAATAAAAATAGTTTAGATATCAAAATTTTGATATGAAACAAAATCTATCTTTATTGTAGTTTTGCTGTGTCCGATTATGTAAATAAGATGAATCTATGTATGTAAAATTTCAACAACTAAACGGATTTTAAATATGCATATAACTCACTGTGAAATCAAAAGAAAATTGAATAAATACTAGTCATTACCCCCTCTTCCTAGATCTAATTTGAATGAAAATCATATCTAATTTTTGTCTTGTTGAATGAACCGAAAAGCAAGTGATTATTGTAAAGTGCTCAAAACGACGCTGTATCGATTTGGTATCACTAGCAAAACCTGAACAGTTTTCAGGATATTCAAAGTATGTTTACATCCGTACCATCGTTTTCAGAAAATTATGTTATTAACATCCTCCAGGTAAAGCAAAAATGAAAAGTACTTTGGTCTAAATAAAGAAGCGATTGTAAGAGGCGAAAGACAGACATTTAAACTCTGTTTTAACCTTTCGAAGACAGATGACATTAGTTTTCGATTATACACATGCGTATTTGCTTTTTAATTGTATATTACAACTTATCCGTATCTGTATCTACTTGAACTAAGAAAAGAATATAGATTTACTTCCGAGTTTTAAATTATGATAAGCAAAGGCTCTAAATTAAAGTGTTATAATTTTTTGTAGAAGTTGGATGTTTTTTGTTTGTTTATGCTATGCAGAAGACCAACCAGTTCTTCTGTAAAGTCATTAGTAATAAATTGTAATTTAATCTGGGATGATAATCAGAAACTAAGGATCAAGAAAATGTTGAATAAAATAAATGATAGAAAGTGTAACTATATGGATTGTAGTTTTGTTATTACCAGGGAGACAAAACTAAAATGATTTAGTATTTACTTGTAACATACATCTATGATAATACTAATTGAATACAACATGTACAACTATGTCTTTCATCTTTGATAAAAGCCAGTGTATCTTCATGCAGACAACATTTTAACTCTTAATTCGTTTGTTCTTTTACTTGATTTGTTAGTTATATAAATAATGAAGTGTTAAAACAAGTACTCTTTTAAAATACACATGCACAGTTAAGAAATTCTTACCATTTAAGAAATCCTCTGCATATTGAATATAATAAAAACAGGCTTCTTGAGATGCAATTTCGTAGCAAATCTTAATGAGTCCAGCATGAGATTGTAGTAGTCCTGATGAATGAGCAACTACCATCCAGTACTCAGTTGCAAGTCCAACAACCTCCATTATAAAGAATGCTACCAAAAGAAACGTTCCAATTGGTACTGCTGACGACATTTTGTTATCGTTGTTAATAATATTTTATAAGTGTTAAACGATAAATGCATCAAATAAGAGAGAGATATTCCGGCAACATCCTGGGTCAACCTCATATATATTACCTGGAACTTTTAATTGAACTGCGCATGCATTATTGTATACACGCACAAATCTATAAATTTCTTTTCAGGTTAAAAATGAATATTGCATTGAATCAATTTGATTTTAAGTGTGTGAAAATATGTTAACTGATGTTGGTTGTTATCTGTGTGTATAATGTGTAATCTAGACTAAGTGTGAATATTCATGAAATGAATAATGGCCATGTGTGGTTAATATGAGCCTCTGGAATAGGTCTTTCATGCTACATATTGTATATGATAAGGGGGTAAATTTGTTATCAAATATTAGACAGGGTTATATACTAATGGCGTTGTAGGTTCTCATACCTTACCAGATATTGAATCTATATCTAGTTGATACTCGTTAAACCTCGTGACCAATTTATCTCATCCAATTATAATATAATGATGGTACTCTAGCTGCAACCCTACAAATAGATCAAATGCCTCACCCTTTCGAGTCTAATATGAAGGGCAGGTGGATATAGTATAGACATTTATCATGTGAAATAGACAGAAACCCAACAAAACAGGTTAACAAATAGACATCTAGTGACAACCATCACAAGGTCTTGTCTTTAGTAATAACTTGTACATTGTACTATACATTACTACGTATACAGTAGTATATATTTTATATGTGTTCTTTTTCAAGAATTGACAGGTACTATATAAATAAGGCTTTCAACAATGAACAAGCATCCAAATCTCAAAACAATCTCCAAGGCAGTTACTATATGATCTTAATTTCGGGGACAATGCAGTGTCGTAGCTTGACACTTATTTCTAGTGAGGCAAACAATTTTTTGGTGTGGGAGTCGAGGCCTCATTGCGGTTCAACATGGTAGTTTAACGTGCAGTGACAAATATTTCATGTATATTCATTTTTGTTTTACTTATATACTTTAATATATCAATATGATATATATAGGTAAAAATGTCAAGTGCCTGTGCTTTTAACTGCAACTTGAAAAGAATGGCAGTTTAGACAAAGGCAGAAATTTTTCCTTCCAGCAGTGTCATTTATGAACCACTCAAAGAGTTGTTGTGACGATTCTAAACGCGAAGAGAGCGTGGTACTCTCACTATACACGAAATACTTGATTTAACGTCTTTATTCTGACTGGACGTGGCTGCATATTTATACATCCTGTACATCCTCATGTCTAGAGATGATAACATTTCTATATACCCCATTCATCTCTTATTTTATGCAGGATATGCAAGTATTTTCTAGATATTCATAATCATGAAATATTATATAGCAGGTATTTGGGTGTTTAAAAAATTGTAAATTGACAAAGAGTTTTCAGACATTATCCATCTTTAAATTTTAAGGACTCTACTGTTTTCGCTCTCCTTTTTTTTCAGGACGCATTTGATTTGCCACACATAAGCGCAATGTTCTTGTCTACTTGTTTTAAAAAAAATCAATTTGTTGAATTTTTATTATGATATAATGATATTTTCCAATGCGCATTCGACAAATACGTTTGAATATACAGATTCGGTGATATTAAAGTTAAGATTAGCCATGCTCGCTTGTATTTTAAACGGTACCACGATGCGTGAATAGATTATAACTGCCTCAAATATGAATAAAGGAACATGTCGGTGAGAAGTGGATCAAAGTTGGTTCTCATAGGAAGGCCGACTGTCTGTTGAAAAACAGGTCCACCAAAATAACAAATATGTTGTCAGTAAAACAAAACAAAAAAGCATGACGTCAGTTCACAATTCTAATCTCTTGTCTGAAACAAGGATTTTTTACAAAATACAAATTGTACGTTCCTACAAACAAGATATTTCTATCCAAGTTGGTAGTATTTATGAAAAAAGATGGACATATTTTTTTACTTCTTTTAGTTAATGTTAAGGGCATCCGAACCATCTCACTTTATACTATTGAAAAGACGTATACTCTATCACTCTTCATCCTTCTCTATTTCTTTTCTTGGTCAAAACTTTGGTGAATCAGTTACCTCATTGCCTTAATGAAAACTACGCTACTGCAATGGAGGGTATTAAAAAAAATAGAAAAACAAAGAAATTGTCAAAGGAAAACAGAAGTACCAGGACAAAACCAATTGCATTGTACATAATACTCGATGATACCAACGAAGAAAACTAAAAAGATGCCATAAAGAAAATCAGGGATATACAATCATTTCCCGCATCAGTCCTCAATCAAATTGTTGCTAGCCTATTCACGATCAGATGCAAATGAATTGAAAGAAATGTCCTTATATCTGAAGCAAGCATCAGATTCTCAATATAGAAGGAAAAAAAAACACACAAAAAGACACTGACGTGAGTCCGGTCTTAGAACAGGCAGAATATTTATTCGTGACGTTGTAAAACTATTTTAGCGCTAAACCATGATCTGTATTATTTATAATCCACTCGACAGCGCATGTCAGTCTGTAAAACACAAATGTGATCTGTATCATTTATAATCCACTCGACAGCGCATGTCAGTCTGTAAAACACAAATGTGATCTGTATCATTTATAATCCACTCGACAGCGCCTGTCAGTCTGTAAAACACAAATGTGATCTGTATTATTTATAATCCACTCGACAGCGCATGTCAGTCTGTAAAACACAAATGTGATCTGTATCATTTATAATCCACTCGACAGCGCCTGTCAGTCTGTAAAACACAAATGTGATCTGTATCATTTATAATCCACTCGACAGCGCATGTCAGTCTGTAAAACACAAATGTGATCTGTATCGTTTATAATCCACTCGACAGCGCATGTCAGTCTGTAAAACACAAATGTGATCTGTATCGTTTATAATCCACTCGACAGCGCCTGTCAGTCTGTAAAACACAAATGTGATCTGTATTATTTATAATCCACTCGACAGCGCCTGTCAGTCTGTAAAACACAAATGTGATCTGTATCATTTATAATCCACTCGACAGCGCCTGTCAGTCTGTAAAACACAAATGTGATCTGTATCATTTATAATCCACTCGACAGCGCCTGTCAGTCTGTAAAACACAAATGTGATCTGTATCATTTATAATCCACTCGACAGCGCCTGTCAGTCTGTAAAACACAAATGTGATCTGTATCATTTATAATCCACTCGACAGTGCCTGTCAGTCTGTAAAACACAAATGTGATCTGTATCATTTATAATCCACCCGACAGTGCCTGTCAGTCTGTAAAACACAAATGTGATCTGTATCATTTATAATCCACTCGACAGTGCCTGTCAGTCTGTAAAACACAAATGTGATCTGTATCATTTATAATCCACTCGACAGCGCCTGTCAGTCTGTAAAACACAAATGTGATCTGTATCATTTATAATCCACTCGACAGTGCCTGTCAGTCTGTAAAACACAAATGTGATCTGTATCATTTATAATCCACTCGAAAGTGCCTGTCAGTCTGTAAAACACAAATGTGATCTGTATCATTTATAATCCACTCGACAGTGCCTGTCAGTCTGTAAAACACAAATGTGATCTGTATCATTTATAATCCACTCGACAGCGCCTGTCAGTCTGTAAAACACAAATGTGATCTGTATCATTTATAATCCACTCGACAGTGCCTGTCAGTCTGTAAAACACAAATGTGATCTGTATCATTTATAATCCACTCGACAGTGCCTGTCAGTCTGTAAAACACAAATGTGATCTGTATCATTTATAATCCACTCGACAGTGCCTGTCAGTCTGTAAAACACAAATGTGATCTGTATCATTTATAATCCACTCGACAGCGCCTGTCAGTCTGTAAAACACAAATGTGATCTGTATCATTTATAATCCACTCGACAGTGCCTGTCAGTCTGTAAAACACAAATGTGATCTGTATCATTTATAATCCACTCGACAGTGCCTGTCAGTCTGTAAAACACAAAAGTGATCTGTATCATTTATAATCCACTCGACAGCGCCTGTCAGTCTGTAAAACACAAATGTGAAAAAGGCAACTTTGTTTTTACTTTTCTTGAGAGATATGAATTAAAGTTTTAAGAGATATTTAATTATTTTTATGGATATTTCAAACAGTTTGTATTACATGTATAACATAATTAGTTCAGAAAATACATATATATGGATCATCGTGTAATGATGATAAAAATTGTGCCTATATGTTATTCAAAAGGGTAGCTTAATTATTTGATAACAGTGAACTTTTTAACAAGATTAAAAAAATAACACCAGCAACGCTTGATTGGAAATATACATGTGCACTGGAGATCAATAAAATGTTTTAATTTTAAGGTGTATTTCGGTTATTTTTTACTTTTTACTTTTGCTTCTTTTGAGCGTGTGGGGATATCATTATTAGAACTATTAATAATTCAATAAAGTAAAATGAAAACAGCTTATTGTAATTTCTTTAATTGATATGCTATAATTACTAGTTTTTAGTTATGTGTGATTCATCATTATAACTTATCTGCTCCTTGTGGGTGTTGTGAAATATCTGTATCTGTATTTGTACAACACAATTAAGTTAACCAAAATTAACACCAAATCAAACCGAGGTCTTCAACAATGGGTTTTAACCGCCTCTGTGGTCTCGTGGTAGCCTGTTCACCTCGATTGCAGGAGGTCGTGGGTTCGAACCAAAGACTTTAAAATAGGTATGTGCTGCTTCTCCGCTTAGCACGCGGCATTTAGGAGTAAGAGCAAAGACTGGTCGGCTCGGAGTCAGAATAATGTGTCTGGGTAAGGTGACATGTCTTCCTGCGGACTGTTACTTTGTAAACTAGCTCGTTTAAAATCCGGCTCAGCGTGTCGGTCTAGTACAAAGCAGGGTTTATATTCATATTACATTTACATGTTCTCGTCCTGAATATGCATATTAATTTGCCGCTGGATGTTAAGCAGCCATCCATTACCATGAACAATGGGCCAGCACACACACCGCATGACAAGCCTAAAGGGAGCAAGCATGGGAAGAATAAGAAAAAATGATAGAACCGTAGAGAAAAGGGAGTAAATAAATCAGCTAGACCATGCTTAATATCAAACTTCCTCGAAGGCAAAATAATCCGTTTCAAATATG